AAAAATCTACTGGAAAGTTTATTTGGAGGCCAGTCTACTGCACTGTCTGTACATCCATTCGAATTCCTATCCCGAATTACAGTTCTTGTAAAATTGTCCACAGCAGCATGAATGTAGGTGAATCAACACATCAGCATGAATTTTTTTTTGCTCCCCCCCCCCCCCCCAGCATAGTTACAATTTTTGAAATTCCTTCTTTAAAGAGTCAGAGATACAAATGTTTATGTTGGGCAGAATCTTGTTGATGGTTGGGACTAGGATACATTTGGTGTAAACTATAGCAGGATCTAATTAGCCTTTCTTTCTTTCTTAGTTAAGTGAAGCCCAGTACCATGTATCAGACTAACTGGAAACTGATTGTTTACTTTTACTAGGCTTAGGGATTTTCCTGCCTCCCAGTATTTTATGTCTAAGTGAGAGGACAGCTCAAAAGAAACGAAGGTGCAGTTTGTAACAATTGTCAATTTAACACTGTCCAAGTTTAAATAGTCAAGGAAGCAGTGCGTTGACCGATTATGGCTTGGGAAAACATTTCCAGATGCAGGAAATGTTTGAAATAACGTGACTTACAGGATGGTTAAATAACAAGGCTACTCGAGAAGACAAAACCCCACGGGGTTGCTTCTGTCTCCCATGAAAGATGATGCGGGGAGAGACTTGTCAGTTTGGGGAGCGTTGCCCAGCAGCTGAACGCTGCCACCTACGCCTGGGAAGGTGGTGCTGCTCCAGAACCGGAGCACTGGGCTGGCTGCGATGAAGGAACTTTTAAATTTGGACATCCTACTGCCAGGTGTACAATGACAAAGCTAGGACCGGAGCTGAGGCAGCTTCCAGAATTTGAAGACACCTATGTGTGGTTTAAGGAGGAGAGATGGGAACAGAAAGAGCAGTGGAGGGCACGGGGCAAATTAACTTGTCAAATGCTGGCAAAAAATACCTGAATCTGCATACAACACCTGTCTGGGATTGTTATATACAAACGCAGCGGTGTTTTGTCTTGAATGTAATTTGAAGCAGGGTTTTTTGTGTGTTTTTTCTATCACATTTTAATTTGTGAGGATGACTGGACCTTACTCATGGCTAGTATCAGAACAAAGAAGAATATGTTTCTGGGTCCTTGATAATCAATCCAGCCACTTCTAAGCAATAGGACTGACTGACCTAAAATAACTGGTCACCGACGAAGGTCTGTCAGCCATCAGTGGTGTACAAAAATCCAGTGTACAGGCTCTGCTGCTTCTTGTGTCGTGGTGTACAACTCTGATCTCACAAGTGAAACAGTCCAGCACAGAAACCAACACGCTTGTAGTGTCCCCCATAGCTATTGCTGTGAAGCAGCAGTGAAGTTTGTGAAGTAAAGTATGTGCAATGTTGTATCCTGTCCGGGATATTTTTTTATAAAGCCACGTAATTTCAGAGAAAAGGGCATCCTTACCACTGAAGTAACTCTAATGTATACAATTATGTCACAGCACTGGCCTCCAGGAGTGACCACTGTGCATCACAAATACATACTTTGGTATTTTCTCTGGATTCCTGGCCAAGTCCGATTCTATTTTCTTTCCAGTTTTCAGAGCTCCGTGTCTTGTTCTTCGTGCGTTTCTTTGCATCTTCTGTACCTTGCTTCTCTTTCTTTTTGTTACTTCTTCCACCTTTTCCTTTCCTACTTGGAG